TATATATATATAGATAGATAGATAGATAGATAGATAGATATAGATATATAGATATATATATAAATAGAGAGAGAGAGAGAGAGAGAGAGAGTGCGCACGCATGCGTGTGCGCGCGTGTGCGCGCGTGCGTGCGGTGTGTGCGTTAACTTTTACAAACAAAGCAGATCGAACCAATTTGAGAAATTCTGCCAGCTGACTAACGTGAAGACAAAAAGGGAGCAAAACCCCTCCCCAAAAAGCACTATTTCATGCAGCATCCCCTGAGAGCAGGCACCAGCAGGTGAATGATGGCCTGCACACTTTATCCACACAAACCCCTCATGAACATACCATCCAGACATAAACACAGACTGATGGTTCAAGTCACTTGACATCTGGTGAAGATCTCCAAATCCTGAACGCTACCAAGTCTTGTGGAATTACTATGCAGATTACAATTTTCTGTGCATTTTTAACCACGAAAATTACTTTGAAAGTTCCCCTAAAACTAACCAGTCCCCTCAATTCTATAAGTGTTTGTCCATTATGAAGTGCACAAAAAAAAGAAAAGAAAAAAAAGAAACCAAAATAGGCCAATGCAAATTCACTAATACAAGGAATGAACTGCATTCCAACAATAACAACAAGGAATCATCACCCCTCGAAACAGAGTACAAGAAAAGTCAACACGTGTTAAGCATTTAGTATCTTAGCTGAAGCGAGATGAGCAGGGGTCATTTCAAAAGAGCATAACGGCCACGGTAATGGAAGGCAGTTGTGCTAACTTCCTCTGGAGCTAATCAAAATATGTGAGAGCAGTGCAGCACTACCGTAACAGCCATCAAAGTCTAAGTGTGAGGCCAAATTACCACTCTGACAAGTCAACATAGCCAAGAGGCCTTGACAGGAAAAAGGTTACCTCACAGTTAAACACGTGCAAAGAAATCTTTTGATTAATTAGCGGTTAACCCAGACATTTGACATTTGGAATTCTTCACTGACCACAAAACTGATGAAAGTGCTAACTAAAGTACCAGACAAAACCGAGTGAATTTGCACACTTATTATTTCAATCACACTGTGCTTAAAAGTACTTTGGAATGTATGTTTCGGGTGGAGTAATTATGTGGGGAAAATAATTTAGGAATTAATTTATGACACCAATCATTTCCCCCACCTGGTAGCTTGTGATAACACCGCTACTTTGCTTTTTGCAGAGTGCATATTGTTACTACCTTAAATAGAGTGTACATGCGTTGTTTTTATTTTTCAAGAAGAACTCAAGGCCATTCTAAGAATGGACGTCACATCAAAATATTCTCTGAATTCATGCAGCCTTGTTATAAACATGTCATTCAAAGCCAAAAACCAAATAAACACAAACAGTCACTAGATACACTCCAATAACAAAAATTCACTTGGCAGGCAAACCATTTGTTGCCCTTATGCTTGTCAGCTTGTGTAACATAAGTATGAACACACACATACTATCACATCCACACAAAAATGACAATACTGCACTACTTTTTATATAGCTTCAAACAACACTTTCCCCACTTATCGACACACCTTTTCCAAGCCATCCACCTCCTAAAGCACATGCATGACAAATTGCCAAACAATTGAAAAATAGAATACTATCTTGTGTGCATGTGCTTGCATGTGTGTGTGAACAAGTACTCACCTATTACACACACTTGCACAGAAAACATTTCATTAAAGGAGCCGCAATCGCCAGAGAGACCCAGCACAGGTGGATATTCCATGCCCAAGTCCAGAGTGGGCGTGGCCTTGGTAGAGTTGCTAAGCCGACAGTGTCCAGATGTGCGCCCTTATTCACGAACAGTGACGCACACAATCACTTGCTGCGGATAGTTTTGAAACCAATGTGCTACACACAATAGTAGGAGTCTGCACGCACGCACACACACAGGTAGAGAAATTAAGAGCTAAGAAGATTTTGGAGTTAAAAATAACCAAAGCAGGAGGCAGGAGGCCAGAGCAGTGTGCTGCCAATCCACCTGGCCTGCTTGGATAATAACATACAGACCTGTGCAAGGCCACATTTGCATTTCTCAATCAATGAATGTAGCCCACTAAAGGGCAACACGTGACTCACATTTAACTAAATCAGATTTTTTTTTTCCAACTTCCACATGAGCGTGGGCAGCTCCAAGAACATACGGCTAGTATAAACACACAGACACATAAAAAGCATCATTCAGAACATGGATTTGCTAATCTGGCCCTGGTGGTCTGATTTCTGTGCCCAAAAATGAAATTATAGGAGGTACGCAGAACATATGCATACACAAGTAAGAGACATGCCATACAGGTATTTCCTGTGATGTTTGGGGAGAAAGATAGTAATAGTAGCACATAGACTCGATCCAAAAAGTCTTCATACTAATGATGGGAAAATGAAGCTTCAAGATGCTTCATGAACCAGTTGTTTTATTTTTGACTCCTTGAGATTGCGCATCCTTGCTCATCGAAGGAACATTTTTGCACTGATTTATCTTTTTCTATTTATTTTTTTTACATCCCAACAAATTGGCATTTGAACAGGGATGTGTAGACTTTTTCTTCCACTATCCATCTCAAATTGCATGCAATCTTGCCGGTTTTGATGATGAAGCTATAGAGGTAATCATGCGGAGGGAAATAGCAAACGTTCCGAGATATGGTAGATATCGTAAGATGGTAAGACCTAATCTACGTGACTTTTCGGACAAATTCAAAATGTGAGAAGAAGAAGCAAAACTCACCTCTTTTACGTGCATGTTTTCGAGTTGACCTTCAGCCTCCTGTGCGGCCATAGCTAAGATGCCCGTTCTCTGTCCCCGGCCCCACTGCCCGTGACCTTGACCTTGACCCTGAAGCATCTCCAAGAGCCTCTGGATGCTCTCGTCTCTGGCACCCAGCGTCTGCTTTTGAGAGTCAATTCTCATCTCCATCTCTTCCATTGTTTTTCTCAGCAGAAACAGCTCCTTGGCCTGACGCTCGTGCTCCGACTGCAGGTGCACAAAATTCTCTTGTGACGGATCCAGAGGTGGTGAGGAGAAGCCATCACAGCCCGGCACTTGGCAAGGGCTGCAACGCCAAACCAAATTGGGGTTGGGGATCGCTGCTTGATTCGGGCTGTGTTTTGGTCCGGGATGAAGCGTGCCGGCTGGGCTGACTCTCTGTGCTGCTATCGGACTGGCCGAGCCATACCCAGAGCTGTGGATGATGACGTCCGCTTCCTGCTGCCTTGGATTCAGTGTGTTGGAGGGACTCGCTCTTGGGCTGTTCTTTGGTCCAGAACTTTGGAGATTGCTGGGACTTTCTCGGGGAGTGCGGCCAGGACTGAGCCCTTCTCTGTGCTCCTGCTCCAGGCTAATGTCACGACAGGAACCGGAGGTCCCGTGCTGATGGGGTTGCTGTAGGCGGCTGTTCATCTCCCTGTGGGCCCTCAGCTCCTCCTGGAGCTCCTCAACTGTCAGTGGAAGCTGTTAGAAAATGGAGAAGGTAAACAAAATAGTTTCTTCTGTCATGTTCGAGTGTTTGATTGGGTACAACGAATCAGAAGCACATGAAGAAAGCCACAAAGAAAGTTGAAACCTGCTTGTTGAATACTTTGTCCTCACGGGGGCGGCATTTCACTTTGAAACATTGGGAGATTATGAGTGTAGAGTGTTGGAGGGGGACAGAAATACACGTGGTAAACGTGTGGTGGTGGAAGATTGCTACTTGTGTTGATGAAACTAGAGCAGTTATTATAAAAAATGTCATAATATGGAGGGATAAAATTTGCAACAAAAAACGATAAGTAATCACCAAATAAATCTGTCATCTATCATTCCATTTCCTTTAGAGCAGTGGTTCTTTTTAGAGGTATCGAAAACCAATCAGTTAATATGCACATTCACTGAACCCTTCATGAGTGAAAAATAAATATATATATTTTTTACAAATTCAAGATATAAAAAACACACATTTATTAAAAACAGAAAAAAGTAAATACAATTTCAAGAGATAAGTACAGTATACTTTTTTTAAAAAATTGTACGACAGTCTATCACGGCAGTCACACGTTGACTACTAAGCGAACTAAATTTCCCACAACACTGATTCGACAAGCAATGTAATGTGATCATCTGCAGCCAGCGATGGCCAGGAGGGCGTGTCATAACTAATACCTTCCATGGCAGAGGCTCCGTCGAACCCCTGAGACCGACTCACCGAACCCCTGGGTTTCGATCGAACCCAGGTTAACAACCACTGCTTAAGAGCCTACGGGCTGAATTCTGTCCCTGTTGATTTAGGACCCTCTGGATTGATCACCAGGCAATTTAGAATTTGGAAGAATTAATTGATTTTGGGGTCATTGTATCTTTCAGATGCAATTTGAATAAATGGACCATTAATCACACCATACAAAACTGTCAGTTCTGATTGGCTGTTAGCTAGCCAGGGCAAATTAGCGCATGAGATAGAAGCAGACTATAATCAAAGCAAAAGCATATAAAATGGCTTTGTCTAGTAAATTAAATTTTGGTTACAAGCACGCACTGGCCCTTGTGGATGAACAAGCATGTGCACACACAGATGCCCAAGGATGCTTCTGTACTCGCTGTTCTGAACCAGAATTGCCAGAACTGATTTTTAGTGCCAGTCCAGCCCTGGACTGACATTATGGAAGGTGTCAAATGGGCCTTCAGAGAGCTGACACAAGTGAAGCTAGGTCGAATTGTCTTTGACAGATTGTCAAAATAAAAAGGTGGGTGGCACCAAGGACACACAGCTGAGATGAAAGGAGGCGTGGGTGACATTCCTCCCTCCCTTCCAGGTCATCGCAAGATGCTAAAACTGAACACCAAGTCAGTGTGTGTGGACAATTCCACTCCCCCCCCCCCCCCACCCCACACCAACCAAACACCCACACACTATGTACACGCATACATAGCAGATGGTTAGGTGGGAGTCTGTTTGGCAATAATTGGCACAGCTAAGGGAGAAAGTGACATTCCGTATGCAAATGAAACAGTTTGGACGTTGACAACTTTGCAAGGTGACTCAAAGGATAAATTATACAGAAAATGAATCATCCACTCTGGAGCAAGGAAGGGGATAGATTAGTTGAACTCAAGATTTTAAATACATGGGGGAAACAATATGAAAAAAAATGTATGCTAAAATATTGAAATAAGAGAATAAGAGGAGTTGAGATGTGATGATGAATCTTCTTTCGGGCCTTTGAGTGTGCTTAATCTCCCAGTGCTCGCTCTTCGCTGGTACTCCAGAAAAGTGTCACAATTTGCAGATTTCTTTTCAAGATTTAAAACAATTTTTTTTGAAATATATTCTTTGTTTGTTTGTTTGTTTGTTTGGTTTGGAGTTTTGGTGGGGGGTTTTGTGTGTTTGTTTTTTCCCTTTTCCTACATTTTTATGAACAATACACATTAGAGGTTTATCAGCATTTTTAGAAGAATTTTTGTGTGTTCATTTTTTTTTCTCTCAAATGCATTTTCGCTATCCGCGGGCCGATTCAGTCCCTAGCGCCCGCCCCCCCACGAATAGCAGTGGTCTACCATATTCTTAATTTCTCATCAAACTGTGAGTGGGGCAACCAGAAGAGAATTTTGTGTAAAAAATTCTTCTCTTGGAAAGTTTAACACTGAGTAGGGCTGATTCAAATGATCAGCTCAAGCAAGCTTTGGAGGAACCTGAAAACGAACCTGATCATTTGAATCAGGTCTGTTGGAGGAGGTATAAATCTAAAACATGCAGTGTAGCGAGCCTCGAGGACCACAATTGGTGACAAATTCGTGCAAAACAGTAAAATGTTCAACCTTTTAAATTACTGTGTATAATTTTTTAATTAATTTTCCAATTAATTGGTTATCAGAGGGTTTTTCTTTTTTCTGCCAAATAAATCAGCCTAAAAAAAAGTCCATATCAGTCCAACCTTAAGAAGGTTAAGGTAGATGTATCAGAGTATTTAGGAAATGCAGTGGCGCAAACATGAAAGTTGCTAGAAATATAACAGTAAAGTGCAAATATGTGAAAATCCCACTCATGTACAGTAACGTTTTTTTTTGTTTGTTTTGTTTTGTTTGTTTTTTTTACTCAGTTACACAATATAAGAATGCTTTCAGGAGTAGCTTTTAAGCTGTGTTGGACGCTGGTCATCACTATGAAGGCCAGTTCCCATGGAAACTCAAGCACGAAGCCTTGAAAGCATCTTTCCAAGTGAAGTGGAAAGTCGCTTTTCTTTGCAACCTGAATGACAGCTACACAGAAGGTATGAGAAGAGGTTTGACGTCTGCGTGAGACACACAAATAGAAACGAACACAGATTTACTTGTGTGAACATGACTCACTGTTGACGTCCCTGTTGACTCGTTTGGTGCAAAGTGCAGTACCATTGCCGTGGATATGAACACTGGTGGTTCATTCATTTAAACTGTTTAAAAAAAAAAAGGTCAAATATGAGATGAAAACAATGATTATGACTTACCTGAACGTTATCTTGATCTTCCTTGTAATGGTCCTTGAGTGCAGAGCTCCTTGCTCCATCCTCCCGCCTGATGCCTTTGTCTCTCTTGGCATCCACACTCCAAAGGTGGGCACTGTTAATACTGTGGCCTGTCTTTCCATCCTTGTTTCCATCCAATTCTTTTCTTAGGCTGTCATTTTCCCTCTGGAGCTCTCTCAGCTGAGCCTGGAGTTCAGATGCAGAAGGCACCTCGTGATCGCTCGAGTCCAGCGCCTGTGAGCGTCTCCCCGACTGCCGCTGTAGACTGCAAGTCCCTGCAGCGCGAAAGTTTCGGCCTTTGCCGTAGTGGTTGGATGGGTGATTCGGGTCAGTGGAGTTGACATTTGGGCTGCTGCCCGCGCCAGCACCACGGCCACTGTGGGAGAAGCAGCTGGTGTTCCTTCCAAGTGTCATGGTGCCTTTAGGATAACTTCCAGAGGGTTCCAAAGCATCCCGCTCGCAGGAGTATATGCCTGAAGTGCCGTAAACTGCATTGAAAGACTGGATGTTTTCCATTGACATCGTTTTTCCCCCCGGGGCTGTTGCGGAGCCACAGGTCTCCTTTGTATGTGTTGCTCCTCCAGGTTTCTTTGGACCGAGCCTTGACATTGATTCTTGACCTCCAGGTACTTTTGAAATGGGTGTGGAGACCGAGCCAGGTTCCAGTCCTGAGCGGCAGCCTGGAGTTGAACTGGTCTTAGTCTGTTTACCTTTGGCCTGTTTTGCAGACCTTGAAAAGCGTGAATTAGATGCAGTGCCATCTGCGCGCCCGCTGCTCTTTGAGACAGCAGACAGCTTGCATTGTGCCGGCTTGGCTCGAACATTCAGAGGCATTTTTATATGGCTACATTTGGCATTTTTAGGACAAACTTAAGGACAATGGTTTTATATCCCTTTATGGACTCACTTTGTGGGTTTAGATGGCCAACTTCTGGCCTCTCAGTTTTCACCTGCCCATCGTGGATTTGATGGGGCTTGAGGGTGAGACTTACAGTGTTTTGTCCTAATAACTGAAAGAGGTTGCCATGGGCAACAGGCAACACGGCTCCCAAATACAGCAACCCAACATGAATTGGTTTCAGGTACAGAACCGGACATCATGGATCCTTGACAACAGAAAAAGAAAAATCAGTCAAAATAAAAGATAGATTGGCGTTAAGGTACAGTGGGCAACTGGTTAGCACATCTGCCTCACAATGCAGAGGTTTGGGGTTTGACTCCGGCTCCGGCCTTCCTGTGTGGAGTTTGTATGTTCTCCTTGTGCTTGCGTGGGTTTACTCCGGTTTCCTCCCAAATTCCCAAAACATGCATGGCAGGCTGATTGAACACTCTAAATTGTCCCTCAGTGTGAGTGTGAGCATGGATGGTTGTTCGTTTCTGTGTGCCCTGCGATTGGCTGGCAACCGGTTTAGGGTGTGCCCGGCCTACTGCCCCAAAACAGCTGGGATAGGCTCCAGCACGCCCACGACCCTTGTGAGGATAAATGGATGAAAAAATGGATGGATGTATGGAAAATATAGCTCAATGCTGAATCTTAATTAATTCAACTGAAAATGACTTTTTGTTTTCATATTTGTGGTGTGATGAAGGTTGTTGAATTGTTTATTACCGGTACTAGTTCTAGGCATTTGTTTCATAGGTGTAGCTCACAAATTTGAATGTCAGATTATGCACTCTGGTACCGTTTTGCATTTTTACAATTTAGTAAAAATGAACAAAATGGAACTAAATTTAGGACTTGATTGACATATTTATCTTACAATAAAGAAACCACCTTGAAAAGATATTAGCCATTCATTTATAGATTTGAAACTTATTCACACATTTGTCATTATACGCCTGCAACACAGTGCAACACAGGCGTAAAATCTGTTTTGCAGTTTAAACTTTAAAAAGTCAAGTTTTCAGTAACCACGAATAGCAGCTGTAATTGGTCGAAAGCACTTCTTTTCTTTCGCTTGCAGAGTTGAGTAATTTAGCTGCCTGTTTGAAGTTCTACTTTTTTTTAGCCCCAGTTACGTCAGAAAAGGTCATTTTAGAGTTTTTATTTTCATACCGTCCATGATACCGCAATATTTTTGGTCACGGCTATCATACCGTCAGACGCTAAGATCTGCCCATGCCAACTGAGCGCCAATCGCTTGCAGGGCAAATACAGACAAACAAGCATTTACACTCACATTCTCACCTAAAGACAAGTTAGAGTCTTCAATTAATCTAAGAAACGTTTTGGAATGTGGGAGGAAACAGGAATACCCATGCAGAGGAAATCCACAAGAAGACAGAGGACAGATTCAAACCCCTAAACTCAAAACTGTAAAAGCAGATTTCCTCCATCACTGTGCCAGCCATGGAGAGTCAAAAAACATCTATTTGTGATGGGCCAGATATTGGAATGACCTGTAAAGCATGGGCAAATCCAAAACATTATCCCTCCTCTAATCCAAGAGGATTGGACGGTCGTGGTCACTGCACAACATCCAATTGAGTGATTGGTTAATCTGCGTGTCAATCATCACACAGCCGTCAATCTCTCATCCGTCCTCGTTGCACACAATGAATTCATCTTTTGGAATCACCAAAAATGTTGCTTCAACAGTGCAGCATTGCATTTAAGTGGACATGTGACTGGTTTGGAAGTTTGAAACCGGCGTGGCATAAGGTCACTGACAGCCACAATAACAAGTTGCACAGTGCGATAACAAAGAGCAAAAAAAAAAACCCGAGCAAAATCAATTGTAACAATGTATCAACTGCAAGTACCTCCATGTATTTCCCTTGTTTCCCAAATTGTCGTGACGGCCAACTGTTGCCTGGAACAAAACTCGTTGCTTTGTCGAGTGACGTCACTAACAGACGCCCTGGCACTTTAGTAAAACATTTCAACTCGCCATCCACTATTTTTATGGCATGCGAGTGTAAAAGGTTGCTTGCTGCGCCTCCTCCTGCAGACGCCGCCGCCACCGCGCAGCTCTACTACAACTGCATGAGCGGATTAGTTTCTTGCTCCTATGCGCACGGCTACATGCTACACGAGTCCGATGCCTTATATAATAATTAATCTCAATCCACATAGTTGTCATGCACATAGTTGACAGCGAGGAAACACGGAACCCCCCTTCACCGGCGTCCACGTACGCACCTCTCTCCTCAACCGGTGGCTGGCTCCTCCACCTGTCCGGAGTGGGCTACTCCATCACGGTGTCATCTCTTCAACTGTGCCTCTTTTCGTGCGTGACCTCTGCTGCCTGCCAGCATTCGTGGTGTCCGCGTGGGCTCGCTCGCGCTCCCAACTGTTGGCGCGTGCGCGACAGGACTGCTGCCCCAGCTCCATGGACTTGTAGGCTAGGATTGGACCGTTTCATCATCAGCATCATCATCATCATCACCAGCAACAGCAGCATCATAATCATCATAGCTTTCGGACATGGGCGACAAGTGATCATAAAACTTGATGTTCGTTTTCCATTCACACTTAATGTTTGCAGGTCAATCTTGACCTGGGCTAAGGATGTCCATCTATCTATTTTCTAATCCGCTTACCTTCACAATGGTCGCGGGCATGGTGGAGCCTATTCCAGCTGTCTTCGGGCAGTAGGCCGGGTACAGACCAGCCAATCGCAAGGCACACACAGACGAACACCCATCAGCACTCACAATCACACCAAGGGACAATTTAGAGCAGGGGTCACCAACCTTTTTGAGAGTGAGAGCTTCTTCACGTGTACTGATTGTGTGAAGGGCTACCAAATTGATACACGTCTGAAATAACATCTGTTCAAATTACATTTAATAATATTAGAATCTGTTATTTTTAATACTTAATGATTTTAATTTTCAGGCTCTGATCATCTTAATGAAGGTCAGGCTATTATTTTTAGAGCTGTACTTCATAATTTGACATGGTGGACATCCTTAGTGGGGACGTCCCCCTCACAGTGCAGAAGTTTGGGGTTCAATTCTAGGCCCCGGGCTCCCTGTGTGGAGTTTGCATGCTCTCCCCGTGCCTGTGTGGTTTTTTTCCGGGTACTCCGGTTTCCTTCCCTATTCCAAAAACATGTATGGCAGGTTAATGGAACCCTCTAAATCAGGGGTCACCAGCCCATGAGGACCACACCAATAGCCCGCCAGTGCTAGGATTGTGATTTGCTAGTAGAAATTATGATTTAAAAATGCAAACACTGGCAGTATTGTGAGACATCTTTAATTATTAATGTATAATTGTTTCACAGAGAGGGCATTTTTTTTTTACACCAAAAACATAACTGTCTTCTTGCTATAGCTTCTGATTACTTTTTTTTTTATCATCCAGTAAATTTAGACTTCCTTTTCATTTTACAGGTATTTGTTTTTCTCATTCGTGTGTCAAGAAAACCTCTGACCAGAGCAGAGCAAGACTTTTATCCTTGGGGGGGCAAGGCTGAAGAAAAACTTGCAAATACATTATCCATTTTTATATTGAATCAAATGTGTACATGCACATTTGATTCAATATAAAAATAATTCTCATTGATTTTGTGACAACTCAAAGATCATGATGACAACTGTTGATGTGAAGAACATATATGGACTCATTATTTGACTTCAAATTATCACGCTAATCTTTTCGAACACATTATTGTCTATATTTGGAAATACACAATTTTGTGAAGGTACTTTAACAACAGGAACAGATCATCTTCCTTGTGAATACCATCTCTTCCTATCACTTTTCAAGTGGTTCATGCTTCAGCTTTGCACTCAAGTCTAAACAGACTTACGAGGAACTAAACTGCAGTTTCACTCCACATCACGAAATACAACCGTAAGACATTATGAATGCATTATCGAGGAATGACAAAAGCATGGATACTAATTTAAAACGGACTTTATTCAAGTTTTAGAAGAGTTTAGAACATTTAAGAAAAGAATCATACACATTAAGAATCATACACATTGTAGAAGATAGTAATCACCGTCGATAAAGACAGAATTAAACTAACACAAAGTGTGTTCTGGACTCAGACCACTTATTTGGTTTGGCTTCACAACACCCCAAAAACAGGAAAGAACCTTTGTTAATATTCTATTGCTGGAGTTAACACACTATCCTCTTTTCATTCAAGCCCCATCACTCACACTCAAGTGTTGTATTATCCACAGAATGCTGTTCATGAAGCTATCAGACTCAGCATCCACACTGGACAGCGAGTGGTTGTTCCCCGGGTATGTCAGCAAACTACGCATCAAAAATCAGAGCATCAGAGAATGAGCAATTCATATGACAGAAACCACAAGAGATAGGTCATAAAAGCAGCTTACCGGACAAGCACCTGCTTTGCTTTCAAAGCTCTGTAATATTCAATTCCTTGTTTGTGGGGCACGCGCTTATCATCTTCTCCTAGTACGAGTAAAACCGGCGTCTGTACCTATATTCATGTGAATTCACAGCTGGATGAACACCAGTTAACAGCCACAAGCTTATGATTAATTGACACACAATCACTTCTCATACCTGTGCCACAAGTTGGACTGGAGACTTGCTCAACATTTGCTCCCAAACAGCAGGTTCATGTATGCTATCTGCACTGTAGTCAAAGCCAGCCTCAAATACACACCTGAAAGAATCGGACACCACGACGACAATGAATGTAAACGATGGGACTTATTTTGTTTTTTCTTTTTACCCAGGGTGTATAGATGAATTGCTAAAACAGTGAAAAAGATGCTTTGATGCACATTGGTGGCAGTTATATAAAACAAGACAAACATATCAGACTATACCAGTCCGGGATGTCTGTGGTGCAAACCATAGAGGCCAAATTCACGACAGGGTTGAGAGCCACGCAAGCCTTGTAGAAACCGGGGTATTGGCCGATGAGATGACAGGCTAAGAAGCCACCGTGGGAACCTCCGGTAACTGCCAGCTTCTGCCTGTCAAACTCCTCAGCTTTCAGAACACTTTCAACGGCAAACTGTTGGTGAAAAAAACATGAAAACAACATGCAAGTTACCATAGTAGGAAATGAATTGTTTCTCAATTGTGATTACACAAATAAAACACTACTGAAGAAACATAATCTGCACAGAGGTAAAACAAAATAACCATTGCCATGTGAGTTACTTGAAAGCAAGGAGGATTATTCATTTTACTTGAACATCTTTGACGTCCTGTGTGCCAACATTGCCGGGCAATGAAAGGATATTGTCCTGGCCAAATCCAATCGATCCACGATAGTTCACTGGAAACAAGCAAAACAAAAACAAACAAACAAAAAAGATATGGAGATGCAAATATGCAATGTGAATTTCAATTGAGCAGAAAGAGTTTTGCACTCATTGCAACTTTTGCAGTTTGATACACAATTACATTCCTACTTTGTATATTACATGAGGACTCTTTCGACATTTTAGCGAGGGAAACCAAATCCCAAAGAATACACTTGTTGAGCGACCATTGTCGCATTAAGCACTGTTTGAAGTTGGAGCTGACAACTTTGAAAGGACTACAGAAGTGTGTGGATTACATGATTCGTGTGCAGTCCGAAAATGTGTGCAATACGGAAAAAAATAAAACACAGCAAACCGGGTTGTGGATTTGAGATCCCTGATTTCCTAGCATTGGCACATATGATAAGGTGGAACATTCATTCTCAGGTTTCATTTTGGGATTTGAACTTACCTAATAAAATAGCAAAGCCAAGCCTGCATTGCACAGCGGGGGACAGAAGCCAGTCCGCAACAATCACTGAGTGTGGACCCCCTATTGCAAGAAATAATTTGAAATACAGTTCAGTATTTCATGTTCATGCATTAGTCAAAGTAAAACAATCCCACTAGTAAGAAACGAGCTTATTGGCCTTCTGCAAATGAGATGGATAATTACAGTAATTAATGTGCAAGAAGGGGATCAATTTAAGAATAAGTCACCATCAAAGCTCTGTGTCCTAAGACAATACACTAGGAGACCAGTAATGCAGACTTAAATCAGTATAAGCACCAACCATGAGGCATCACAATGAGAGGCAGCTTGACACCATCTTTCACATCCTTTGGTTTGATCAGTAAAGCTTCAAAGTCAAGGCCGGCTGGAAAACAGAAAAAGGAATGATGCCCATTCAAATAGCGCCAAGTGCAGACAATTAGCAAGACAACAAATATTCTCACAAATATTGGTGCTTGCCTGGATAGATTTTTGCCTTCACATGAACAAAAACATCTGCCGGTTAACTACCAGTTCATGAAAATGTTACTTGAAAGCATTTTAATTTTTCTCTTTTCTCGAATTAAACAACAGAAAGACAAAAAAAAAACATCTATAACAAGCACAAGTTAACATAAAGCCATCAAAAGTTATTAAAGAACTTGTCAGTGTACAATTTATATTTACAGCATTCGAAGATCTTACCTTAAGACAGAATAGACTCAATATGTACAATTGAAAATGAAAAAAGCTAAAGCAGAATTTTACTCCTACGGTATTGGCTGTTGTCTTGCTCTGAGGGAGGGGTGAATGTCAAGATCTGCCAATCAATTTCCAGCATTGTCTGAGATTCCTCCAGTGTAATCCAAACCACTTCTTCTTCAGAATCCCTGGTCGGAAGGAAACCCACTCTCTGGATGTGAGACACAAGACACGTTGCAATGGGAGGACTGCCCATTTTCCTTTTTAACCTACAATTGCATAAACTGGAACAATAACTAGAAAACTTGCATATTTGTCCAAAAAGGCAATTACTGATTAGCAGTTGGAATATTTGTGGCTATTGTGCTGCAAAACAAGACATCTGAGTAAAACAACATTCATGACATCATTGTTGACTGCTATGAGTGTCATTGGCTGTTAGTGGGACCTCTCACTTTAATAAAAACACAAACTTTGGTCAAAACATTCTTTAAAATGTGTTGTCCTCTTAGCGTGATACAATTTAAAGGTTGAAGAAGTTTGGAAGGGGAATGAAAAAAAACAAACATTATATACATATATATATATATATATATATATATATATATATTGCCCACTGTGGGTATTACAAAATCCCCTTTCACCAGCACCCTTGTCACCTGTCAGCTAAGCCAGGCCCGTTTGCAAACACACACACACACACACACACACACACACACACACGCACGCACACCCATCTTTCATTATCAAATAGCAAGTATGTGACAACAAATTGAAAATCTTTTTTTTCCCCAGCAGGACCAATGTCACCAGAAAGAACTGTAATAAAGGAACAATTGGGTGTTTAAAATTTAAAGGCTTCAAAAAGTGGGCGAAAATGTCATCTTGTTTTGGATTCAAAACAATGGAATGGCCTGTGATCAGTTTTTAAGAAAAAGAATTAAGCGGAGACCTTGAGGACTCACAGTTTACTTATTAGTGTGGACCAAATTATGAAGATGAAGCACCACAAGAAAGTGTTCTGTAACTATACTTATCCAACCACACATCCATTTTGTAATCTGTTTATCCTCATGAGGGTCGCAGGTGTGCTGGAGCCTATCCCAGCCGTCTTCGGGCAGTAGGCGGGGTACATCCTGGACTGGTTGCAAGCCAATCGCAAGACACACAGAGACAAACAACCATTCGCGCTCACAATCACATCTAGGGACAATTTTAGAGTGTTCCAATAGCCTGCCACGTATGTTTTTGGAATGTGGGAGGAAACCGAAGTACCCGGAGAAAACCCACGCAGGCACGAGGAGAACATTCAAACTCCACACAGGAAGGCCGGAGCCGGAATCGATCCCTGCACCTCTGCACTATAAAGCCGACGTGCTAACCAATAGTTCACCGTGCCGCCCCATTATAATTATACAGTAGTGAATTAATTACTGACATTAAAAATGAATTAGACGCACACACATCATCGCTGGCAGACTTATCCTGGTTGACAGCTTTCCTTTGTCTCCCCCATTCAAGGTTAGGTGATACATATTTTGTCAACTTATCATGTTCTTCGTTCACGTACAAATTGCATGTAACGTCGTCTGCACATACCCTACAACCCTCAAAATTATTTGTGAAAGGTCGATAAAAATATTCCAGCTAGCTGTCAACACATTTTGGGCATCTAAAAAGTGAGAGAAACATCAAAACACTGCATGAAAATCTAATTGAAAACGAGGCAAAAGAGGAGAGCCCACTGAACATCATAACTAAAAATAAACATGGAAAACACATTTTTAACAGGCCAGAGCTATTTTTTTTTCTGAGAGGAGTGCAAAACAGACCTGTGTAACGTGATCACACAAAAACAGCGTTGCGAAAAATGATGGGAACGAGTAACATACTGCAGTGGAAATTTGACATTTAACAGTGTTAACTTGCTGGTCGGTTGCTGTGCAAGGTTGTGCGTCAGACTTCATCTCGCTATCTTTAACTGTTGCTATGCAAGTTCGTTGCTGTGCTAGGTTGTAATTTTCCTGTATGTCAGGCTTTAACCCATTCCAAGAAGAAAAAAAAATATAAGAGGGGCCGCACCCCACTGCTTGGGTAGTCACTCCATCACAGATCTCTAAATTGTGTTTCTCCATCAATTGTAGCTGAAAAAAAGACTTTAGTTGTCTTGGTTTCTCTCAACAAGACAATACCTACAAATAGGGTACTCGTTCAAAGAAAGTCACCTGTGACTGACGATTGAGGATTGAGGTTGGTCTACGTCTTCAACAAGATCTCATAATGGAAGAGAAAAATCCAGTCGTGCTATGTAATACTTGAATCAAGAAATGAATACCAGACTTGGAGGGCAGCTTGGAGAAGAGCAGCTTGCCACTATCAGATCTCGCTCGACAGTCAGCAGATTCCAAGCACCCATGCCAGACTCTACAGAAGACATGAAATCATTTGACTAGAAATAGACTTGTTGATTGAAAGACATTTTGGACTGTTGGATTTCCCGGTGCGTCATCTTAGCCCCAAAACATAAGCGAGCACTCAAACAACCCGTCTGTTTTGGTTTGCTTCTCTGGACTCCTTAAGTTCCCAACAACCCGGGATGCATGGAAAAGAAATCAGTACACTGCTCCATTGGTCTGACTTTCTTTTTGTGCTGGACCATAGTTAAATCAAACTAAACTGGTTTTACAGTTCGGCTTAGTACTGGTTCAAGTGCACTCTCTACTTGCTACACGCTACTCCACCCGACTCTAGGCTACTCCACAACTCGGCCCATGCATCACTCCTACTCTACTTCTACTTGTTCTGCAGCAAGATCCTGGCTGATCCCTTAACACACGCTGCCACCCGCTGGACAGATTTTAAATGATTTACAATGCAGACAAGCCTGATCATTAGACAGAGCCTGTGTTAGACTTTTCTGCACACTATTGTGCACAAAAAATACATAATGGGTAAGCGGCCGTATCAGGTTTTCAAGACGTCTTTAACAATGTACTCTATGTGCATAACATATTCCAGAATTAATCTTAATTAAACGTGCAGACAGATAAAAATGAGCCCATTCATTCATGTACCAGTAACTTAATGAGCTTTAAGTAAGCATTGACTCACTTGAAGTCAGAGAGGTGACACTCCCTGTATTTATATCCACCATCAGCAACTCCTTCAACACAGACAAGAACAACCTTTACTCAAGGACATTCAACATGTAAGTGAAAAAAACAAACAAACAAAACCGACTGTCGAGTTTTCTTTAAAAAAATAAAATTAGTCTTAGGAAATGAGAAAGACCTTGCGGCTGCGTTGAGGACAGGCAACAATAATTCGCTGACTATCAGCTGACCAGCATTTAGACGGCAAATGACTGCAATAGATGCCAGTGAAGCCATCTGTACAATCACAAACACAAAGCCTCAAGACAAATTTTATGAGCAAAATGTACAACAAAAAGTGTGACAAATGTTACTTACCTTCTCCTGGTCTCCTCACCACATCCACCACCACTGAGGTCTTCTTAGTATACCAATCATACTACAAAAGAAAGGAATACGTGCTTCAACATTACAAAGTACACTGTACTCTATCCACAACCCCCCCAAAAAACATTCCAAACAATGCAACAAAGAAAATACGACTAATAATAATAATCATAATGTATAATGAGCTTTACCATACACAGTCGGCTACACTGCATGTGTGGTCCATAGCAAGTACATTCCAGGTAGACAATCCGGCACTGGTCTGGGCTCAGCCTGGGGGAGGACACTGCACTGTTTCCAGATAGCAATTTCTCTGAGAGGCACAAAACATGCAATAAGATGAGTGAGCAATCTACCGGTAAGTTAAAATACAAAAAGTAACCACATCCATTTGCACAGTCTTGATTACATTTCCAGAGTTGCATACTAGAATGAGTAGAAGCTCTGTAGCTTAGCTGGTTGCACTTACCACATTTCCCTCCAGTGAGATCCACATAGTACAAAGATGAGCTGACCCAAAAAGCAGAAACATGAACAGTGGTGAGTGTAGACGAACTCAATGAGGATTGTATTTTGAACAGAGTTAGCATGTGGGGTTAACACAGAGACTGTGCTGATCAAAATTAAGATCAAATCACCTCCTGTTGGGACAGGACCTGAGTCCAAGTCTGAAAGGTTCGTGACACCATCCAGCAAACACCACACCAGTGTCACCTGGAGCCCAAAATGCCTGCACAGACCAAGAGAGGCCGCGAGCACTCTGGTTGTTCAAACACGAAATGGACTGATTTCCTATTAACTGGCACTCAAATAAGCTAAGTTCCTTGTCGATACGATGTAATTTCATAAACGAACACCTGCAATATGTTGCATGTTGTTACCGAACTTCTGGTAATTAAGCCACGCTAATGTTTTACTCAGTAGTTGGAAATGAAAGGAAACATGTACTGTACACTGTGCACCAACCTGTCCTGGTGAGATGTTCTCAGGCACTCCTTCCAACACAGAAACATTGTTCCCCTCGATGTCCACAACACACAGCACTGGACTGCTCTTTTGAACCAGCGCTTCTCCCCAGTCCTCATAGAAGACAAACTGCTCTCCCTTCAGGTTAACCGAAGCAAAAACAACATTGCCATGAGCCACATAACACTGACGAAAAAAAAATGCATGACTGTGAAATGGATCTACTTTGACAGCATCTTTTTTCTCCGATCTCAAAGTCTCTTCCTCATCCACAGAAGAGGACAACGGTGAAGACTCAGTCTACAATCAGAAAGTGAAACACAGAATTATTTACCGGAATTTACCACAATGTGCAATATTGATTGCGAGTTTTTATAAAGATGTGAATCACCCATAGTCTTGCACACTATAAATTTATATTAAGCAATCATCCATTTACTTTCTAAACCTCATGTCTTAATGAGGGTTACAATTAAGATGGAGCTTGTAATGGACAAATGAAGCTCCATGTAGCACTTGGAATAATTTATGACTCCTCTATTTGGCACTCTTGATTTCAAGATGCAGTGGAAACTAGCCTTTGTCTTTAAATCAAGAGCACCATGTAGAGGAGTAAAAAAAATATCACAAGTGCATCGTGAAGCTTCGTTTTCCCATTACAAGCTGGAGCTTATCCCATCTGATTTTGGGCAAGAGTTGTGGTACACAATAGACTGATCGCCAAACCGATTGCAGATTAAGTTGAAGAAAAAGCAATAAATCATCAATGAACACATACAAAGAAAATGCCTAATTGTGTAAAGAAGCAACAGACCTTTTCATTTTATAGGTAATTACAGGCTGTGTGAGTTATAATCGTGCTTTTCTACTTTTCGGGAGAATCTACTACCCAACCAGCAGCTCTTAACAGACCTGGAAGAAAGACTCGGCCTTGGGTCTCTTTTTCTCAGCCACATACAGGAGGTGTGTCTCAGAATGGGACCAGACCAAGCAACCAAAGATGTCTGAGGACACAAACCACATCAATGTTATTCTGTGACTCTTAATTCCATATTGGTGTCATTAGAGCTCTTTTTTCATCATGAATGTGTGTTGAGCTTGTGAATCAGATTTTTGGGGTAACTTACCATCTTCATAAACTTTCCCATGCTTCTTTAAAGCTGTGAGATTGATGCTTTTCATCTTGATGTTTTTATTCCAGATCTGGAGAATGAATTCATTGTAGAAGCTAAGTAGAAACTCGATGAAATAGAAACTCAGTTACAAAGACCAGTGTAAAACAAGTGGTTTACAATAATCTATGTGCTTTTCAGGAATAAAATCTGTCTCATTTTTGTTGAAAACGTAGACCTACTACGCCATTGTATTCAGTGTTGGTCATTATTGTGATCCTTGGAGAGCTATGTATTTTTTAGGTAGTACTAAAAAGTTTGAGGGCCACTGCTTTAGAGCAATGGTCTCCAATCACCCATCAGCGGACCAGTACCATTTGGGACAAGGCCGCACAAAGACAGACCTGTGAGCAAATTTAGTCTATCAGACATTGCGGAAATGTGCTTGACTCTAGCCAATCAGTTTGCAAGTTGAAATAAGCAGAATCCGGCAAAAAATGAAAGAAGTAGCAGTAAACAGAAAGTAATGGTAACAATTTGACCAAAGGTTCAGCTAAATGAGCAGCTGATGGCCAGCCATGACTTCTGAAGATGAAGCTATTTTGACAAGGAAAGGTCCTCCCCTGGCGGTATCTCCAGAGTGACGTGGAGGAGGAAGCTGTTGTGCACGGTTGTCGTCAATACAAGAAACCTGTCGAATCATGAGAACCAGTCGCACCCAGGTGAACAAGTGGAAAGCATGAAAATGCGAGCAGCGTTTGCACAGCCTGCCCAAGTAACCTTTCACAGTTTAGTCGCTAATAACTAGATGGCAGCCACCAGACAAAAGCAGCAATCAATCGTGTCATTTCTTGATCAGTCACATTTGCAAGTAGCAATGATGTTAATGCTGTATGTGGAACTTTAAAACTTAAAAATTATGTTTACATTTTAGGGTGTATTTATTATTCCTGATTGGTCCATTTCATTGCATAGATGGCAATGGCGAGTGATGAAAAAAGCGGAAGGGGCGTGGCCTGGCCGGGGCATGGCCTGGCCGGGGGCGTGGTTACTTATAAAAGTGGCACTAAACATGCTGAAGATAAAGTGTATTGAATTTACACACTATTTGAAAATTGAACAGAAAAAAATCCCAAGATCGCCACTATTCTTTCAAGTGAAAAGTTGTGTAATTTTGCTTATGCATTCCTGGTGAGCATATGTAACTCCATATTTGCTGCTCAAAATCAAAACTAAAAAAGTAAACACATTCCCTGCCATATTTAAGATTTGTTCATGACTTGTATTCATAAAGTGTTGTGTAAATGTGATAAAAAGCTGTTAATTCTTACCTCATACAGTAACGTCTTTAGTTGTATCCGCTGACTAAGTTTGTTTGAAAAATGCCGATCCCAAAGAATAATTGCTCCGTCGAATGGCGATTTTGTCGGCATGTTTTTTCACTTTTGTTGCATGATCTGTCAGTGCCACGCATCCACGGGAGCCATAGTTAATTAAGTTACTACAATACACACAATAAGCTTTGCCTGCTACGTCTGGTTTCTTCAAAAATTGTCCAAGAACTTCTGTAACTTCGTCGAACTTGGACCCAATTTTAACCTTTACAGTGACTTTTCTGTCAAGCCAGTCCAATCGGAATTTATTCTTGACATTTGAGTCAATTTCTAGGATTGAAGACTCCTGATCTTTCGTCAAAAATTTCATAATCCCGCT